GTACAAATAACATAATCTCCAGTGTGATAAGTCACATCATATAGATTTATTTACTTTAATAGTTCTGCGACATTTTGTTTTAGCAATCTTTAATAGTTGAATCAAGACAATTGTTGATGGATCACCTAGTTCTTGTAACTTTCTTTTCATGACTAATTTACCAAATTCATTATAATCATTAAAGCATTTTATGATTTGCTCAACTTCGAATGCAATGATCAACTTTTTAGATATGTCATACACTTAGGTCTTCATTAAATTTAATTTTTTCCAATGATGATGCACTTTAAATAAAAAAAATTGGACTTCTCATCCTTATGTTCTCTGCAATTTCATGTGTATAAGATAATCTATGTATACATTTGATAATGCAACCATAACATTGATTGTTAATCCTAACTTGATTTGCTTGCTTCGTCTCCATGAATATCATATTGAGTGCACTCCTAGATATCAAATCTTACAACTCTTTAAATAATAAAGGCTTGTAATTATGCTCGACAATCGTAAGACTTCTCTTAACTAAAACCTTTATCCATGTATGTTGCAGCTTAATAAAAGCGTTAATTATACTCCATGATGATTCAAAATCTTTTTGAGATGATTCAAGGTGTCTTTTCAATTTCAAATGTATACTCTTAAGCCTAAACAAATTAATACGGGTATATTACAATGGATGTTTTGTTATCAATTATGCAAATCTAAATAATCTTAATAAAAAAAAAAAAACCAAATCATACCTATTTGTTGTAACATTTTCAAAGTGCATTACTTTATCCGTCCAAGCAGCAAAAAATATTTTCTCATATTTTGTCAACCACTACTCTTTCTCATACTTAATTACACCTAGATAAGTTTCGTAATCAATTTTCAGTGAATATAAATGCCTTTCGTACTTGTCATGAGTAGAAAAAAACATAAAGACACTACAATCTAACATAAATGCCTTTTACTTATCCTTTCATTAAAAAAATTTTTTATAATTTGTAAGCAAGTTTTTTAGATATGCAATCTATGCATAAGATTTATTGTGCTAGAAAACACAGTTTGTATTGCATTCATTAATGCAAATCTTTATCAGTAATAACGACATTAGGAAATGTATCAAGAAACATTAAACTTTTTAATGCAAACAATGCCCAACTGTAGTTCTCATAACGATCAGCTTTCATTTATACAAATGCAACAAAAAATGTTACCTTAATGGAAGTCACACCAATAATCTCAAGTAAATAGAGACAATATCTATTTGTTTAATAGGTGCAACCCATAATCAGGACACTTGGAAAGGTATACAACAAATCTATACCAATAACATGAGCCTAAAACAAGTCTCACATAGTTGCTTGACTCGTTAGTCCTATACCACTCCACGTATTTATAAACAGATAACTTTTTCATGAGTTATTGCATTTGTAATCTATAACTTTCTCAACATATTTGTTTCTCTGAAGTTCATTATATATAGTTTTTATAATGCTGACATTCTTCTAACCATGCTGTTTTAAGGTCAACATTATGTTTTTGGGTCTAACCTTACTGTCTGACATATTTGCCACTATTATCTTTTTTTTTGTTAGATAATCAATTGTAAATGCATGTCCTTCTAATTGTTTTGTAGTATATAATAGTGAAACCCATAGACTACCTTCATACCCCACTCATCATCGCTTACCAATTTAAATCTATATAACTGAAATGGCACTCACAATTCTTTGTTCTTATTCCCTTATGTTGTATTTCTTCTACATTTACCTTATTCTTTTACTGCCTGTATTTTTTACTACGTTCACATATCAATCCAACTTTAAGTTTTTTGCTTAGACCTTTCAAATCAAAATTTTTAATCATAATCATAAAACAAATATATTTTCTAACTTGTCTTGCCCAAGAAATCAATGCTTCCCTACTACAAAACACTTACACAACAATTTAAATTATCATATTTTGTATTTACATAAACAAACATTAAAAACATAACTTTTATGCCTTTTAAAATTTACTTCAAAAACATAATCTTATCTCTTCAATAGTAAATGAAGAACTACGATCATTTTTTTATCCAAATTCTATGGTGATTCATTCTGCTCTATTAGTACAGTTCCCAAATTATTTTGCATATTAATAAAAATTAAAAAAATATTTATTACTTTCAAAAATACATTTTTTGATACATTTTCAATTATTTTTAAAAATGAATTTTCTAAAATTATTGAATAATCTTGGACTTGTATATTCGATAGTATAAAAATTCTTTTAAAAATTCATTTTAAAAAATAAATATATTAATTTATATCTGGTCGCACATAGATATTTTTGAAAATCCATTTTTTGATACTAAAGTTATGTTTCGGAAACATATTTTTTAAATGTATGAATTTATAGATAAAATCAGCTTACGTAATCATCATCTTTGAAAATTTCATTTCTGTAAGTGTTTTTCTCAAATTCACTTTTCATTTTGACAATATACAAGATATTACAAATATTTTTACAAATTTTGGTTATAAATTTTGACCAAATATTGATGGTTGCTAGAAAGAAAAAGAAATATAATGCACATGTGAGTAAAGAATCTTACATCATTAGGAAATTTGAATGAGATGTCATATATATGCATGAAGGACTCAAGAATCTAATAGCTTAAACTTTTGAGTTCAAGTGGTATCTAACATGTATGTATAAGCTCTCTGATGTGCTCTCATGGGCTCCAAGTGTAATTTATCTCCCTAACAAGTAGTATAAGAGCTAAGGTTACAACGGGTTTGAGTCCTAGTGGTGTTGCTAGAGGGAGATTATTGACAGATTGAAAGTTGATCACGTCCATTAACTCTATGTGCTCGAACGTCAGTATTAAAAGGTTCAACTTGGATGCAGCGAGTATATGATAATATGCAGAAGCAGAACACCCGGGCGATGTGTTGAGTCAACTTAAAGTGTAAGCTTGAAGAAGCATTGAGACAACCTAGGCAGTCAGGTTGAGTGCTGTGCCCTAACTTAAAAGCGCACTAGAAATGTGAGGTTGTCTGACCCAAAAGAGATATTGATAGGACTTACTTGCATAAGAGAGCCAATATAGGACTTGATTAGAACTCACAAGTGAACGATAGACATTATTGAAATTTGGTTCACATGTGAGTAAAGAATCTTACATCATTAAAAAATTTGAATAAAATATCTTATATATGCATGAAAGACTCAAGAACCTAATAGTTTAATTTTTTTGGCTCAAGTGATATCTAACATATATGTATAGGTTCTTTGATGTACTTACATGAGCTTCAAGTATGATTTATCTATCTAACAAAAAAAGAAAATGAAAAAAAAAATTGATGAAGAATGATGTAAGCAAGATAAAATAACTTTTTAATAAATATTTAAATAATTTTATTTAAAATTAAATTTGTAATATAATTATCGAGATGTGTTAAATAATTTTTTGGGTGTGAATAGAATCCTCTTCGATGGACAGTATATGTTGTTTTTAACGTGTATGACAGCAATGGCCGCCAAAATGGAACTCACATTCCTATAAGAGGAAAATGAACGACCGACCTGGGCCATGATTAAAGCATCGTTGGAGTGGGCACCTTGATGTACGGACAAGGTTCTGAAACCCAAGGTGAGCCGTATGAGTTATGACCCCTTGGCGATCATTACGCAGTCGACTACGATCGGTAGTGGAAAAAAAACTGGGCATAAAAGGGAATCTAAATCCACAAAAAAGGGGATTGTCATTTTCTTTTTTTTAGAAGATGTTTGGGAGATCAAGTGGAATGGAGTTGTCAAATAGAAAAAAATAAAAATAAAAATAAAAATAAAAAGGGCGACGCATCGGTTGAAGGTTTAATGGCTGACACAGAAAAGATTATTATGTCCCGAGCAAGGCGTGACTCATGGTACGGAGTGCAGCTACCACCATTATTGGGAAGCTGCGATGCCTCATCATCTATCCTCATCTTTCTTTACAATGCAAATTGGCCTATTTTATCCATTTCAGGTTTTAGGTTGGAAAATACTTGATTAAGCTCTGTTTTGTTTGGATGATCCATAAAAAAGAATTTTGATCATGTCATTTTGAAACTAAACTTGATCATCTAAATAATTAATTTTGTTCTTTTTAAGCATGATGCTGAACTATACAACAAGAAATAATTAATTTCTCTCACCTGAATCCAATAAATCTTAACCTTTCATCTCAAAATTCAAATTCCTACCTTCTAATTTTGAATTTTAAGTTATGACTTTTAAAGTATGCAATTGCGAATCAATTTTCAATATGATAACGATGATGAATTTTAATATAAACGGATGTTTTTGTTTTTACATAGTAAACTATCTTTTTCTCACCTTATAAATTTATTTTTCATTTTCAATGTTTGAACATAAGCACTCGACCAGATATTTTCAAATTTAAATTTCTAAGTTGTAATCTTAATGGTTAAGTATGATTTTGTCCGTGAGATTATGAACCCTTTGTTATTGATCTTATTGTACTCTCTTGGTGGCTTGAGGTCGTTTCAGACTGTACTACCCCATACATTTTAGTAATTAATTGGGTATTTGATTGGTTAAGTTATTTTGGGTAAAAAGAAAAAAACAATGGGGTCTGCATACTGTATTCTCAATGCTTTGGTGTTGTTTTACTATCCCACAACTTTGTCAGGTCTACTGACATGAGCTTATGGTCTTTGGTCTTTAAGCCAGCCTCATTATTGTTCTTATCGCAATTATTTGTACTTGTTCCATACAGAAATGGCTTCAGTTCCTGGTTGTTGCCTGCCTCGTTCTTGCCATGTGAGATGCATGGCCCTCTTCCAGTCACCTGGCTTCACAGCAGCCGTTCGATACCTCCTTTTAAACCACAAATGTGGACCAGCTCCTCCTATCTTGTTTGATCTCTATTCTCCAATGTCAATGGCACCCAAACTTAAATAACCAAAGATTAATACTATACTTTCACATTAAAATCTAATTGATATGTGGACTTGGAGTTTCTTAGCTGTAAATCACAGTATACAGCCATAAAGGATTAGGCTATTATTGAAAAGTAAAATATATGTGTAGGTGAATCATTTAAAATTTCTGCTTTTTTTTCAAGTGGAATCCAAAGGTCTACCGGGTGACTTTATGAAACAGATTTGTCGACAAAGAAAATCTAAGCTTATTGAAAAATGAAAATGAAACTCAGTTTGATTAGCTCATCGCTTTTGCACGTGCTATATATACAATCCATCCGAAATGCAATCCCTCTCATGACAAACGTCCATCTCTAGACAATTCCCATCAGCTTTTCTGATCTATAATCAATCTTTCTTCTAATTTTTGCAAAATGAAGTTTTTGATGTTGGCAATTAACCTCTCTCTGTTGCTCTTTTGCTATGTTGTCACAACACACCAAACACCATGGCCTTTCACTCTACTTTTATTCTCATTCTTATCTGTTTCACCTTTCTTCCTTAACCACTGGCTAGTCCCTGGAGGCTTTGCATGGAGATACCACCATGTCTACTCTCCACAGCTTCGTGGTCCAGTCGGTTGGCCTCTGCTTGGAACCTTGTCTCTAATGGGTTCACATGCTCATCGTAAGTTAGCCAACATGACTACTTCACTAGGTGCAACTAGGCTCATGACATTTAGTCTAGGAACAACGCGTGTGATAATCAGTAGCCACCCTGACACTGCCAGGGAAATCCTTTCCGGGTCCTCATTCTCAGACCGCCCAATCAAGGAGTCAGCTCGTTTGCTGATGTTTGAACGCGCCATAGGGTTTGCTCCCTCTGGCAAATACTGGCGCCACCTTCGTAGGATTGCTGCGAACCATATGTTCTCCCCTAGGAGAATTTCTTGTCTAGAGGCGCTGCGCCAACAAGTGGCCGATGAAATGTTGGTGGAAGTAAGGAAGGGAATGGAAGAGAAAGGGTGGCTAGAGTTGAGGGGAATATTGCAAAAGGGTTCTTTAACTCACATACTTGAGAGTGTGTTTGGGAGTTCTGTATGTTTAGAAAGGGAGGAGCTAGGGTTAATGGTGAAAGAAGGGTATGAATTAATAACTATGTTTAACTGGGAGGACTATTTCCCTCTAAGGTTTTTGGACTTTCATGGGGTGAAAAGAAAGTGTCATAAGTTGTCAGGCAAGGTAAGAAGTATTGTGGGTCAAATTGTGAAAGAAAGAAAAAAGGCTGGAGATCAGGTCATAAATGGGGGAAATGACTTTCTTAGTGCTTTGTTAACTTTGCCTAAAGAGGATCAGTTGAGTGATTCGGACATGGTTGCTGTATTGTGGGTAAGGGCTCTTTCCCTCTTTGAGATATACATATAATTTCAATACTTGGAGTATTATATATATCCCAAACTTAGTAGCATATACCAAAATAAACAAATAAAATAAAAAACATATCAATCTAATCATAAATATCTCATTTGCAGAGTATTTTGGATCCTAGCCAATTAAGTTGCATGCCATCAAAAAACTTAAAAAAAAAAAAAAAAAAACAATCAGAGTTCAGCAATCATCTATTAGAATCCTGTTTTTTTGTGCTTCAGTTTTCCAGTTGTCTGGCACTGATTTTCATTTGGCTTGATATCATTGGAGGCAGGTTGTTTCATCTCTCTTTTTTTTTTTTTGTCGATAGGGTATAGGGTTTCATCTCGAAAAGACCGATTTTTTATTTACCAAGAAAAAACTGAATTTTTTTTTACTCAATCAGTCAATTTTTCCTTTGAAAAAAGTGACTAAAAGGTTCAAGATTCGGATAAAGAATCGCTGTGACATTAACTTCAAGTCCCGCCACAGTAGCTTTTCACTATTCCTTGGATGCCTTCGTCTTCATAGGTTACACAGATACATATCTCCTTCAAATTCTTTTTGTATCATCTTTAAGCTATAATTTGCTTATTTTTTAATCATTACACAAGGTTATCCAAGAGTAACAGGAAAAAAAGTACTAACACCCTACAAATCCTAGCCAATTCTCAAATATATAATGAACTGATTTGTGCTTTCCACGTTCTTGGTTGTCCTTCCTTCATGGCGCTTTTAATTATTATTCATGGGTATATTCATAGTAAGCTAAGATTGGGATTCGTAGCTTGATATCTTTGCTATATTCATAGGTCAAAGTAGATATACGATGTAGATTTTTTGGATATTATTTACTAAAATACACTAAACTTTATGTATTTTGTTCAGGAAATGATATTTCGGGGTACCGATACAGTTGCCATACTCCTGGAATGGATTATGGCCAGGATGGTTTTGCACCAAGACATCCAAGCTAAAGTCCAGCAAGAGATTGACGCCTGCATCGGCCAACGCTGTCGCCATGTTCAAGATTCTGATCTCCCAAATCTGCCTTACCTCCAAGCAGCGGTGAAAGAGGTTCTCAGGATGCACCCACCGGGCCCACTGCTCTCATGGGCCCGCCTAGCCACCCATGATGTCCACGTGGGGAAGTCCTTCGTTCCAGCTGGCACGACTGCAATGGTCAACATGTGGGCCATAACTCATGACCCATCCATTTGGAAGGATCCATGGACTTTTAGGCCTGAAAGATTTGTCGAAGAAGATGTCTCCATCATGGGCTCGGATTTGAGGCTTGCGCCCTTTGGGTCAGGTCGAAGGGTCTGCCCTGGCAAGGCACTAGGTTTAGCCACCGTGCATCTGTGGCTTGCACGGTTCCTCCACTGTTTCAGCTGGCTACCGGCGGCTCAGCACGTTGATCTATCGGAGACTTTGAGGCTTTCTCTTGAAATGAAAACACCATTAGCATGTCAAGTGGTTCCCCGAACAGCACAACGTGTTTCATGAAGCAAGAAAAATTAATCAATAAAGTAGAAACAATAGTAGTAGTAGTGACTTGTGAGTATTATGAATTGTGAAATGTTAATAAAAATGATGTAACAAAATTAGGGTGTGATTCATGGAAAGTACTAAGTAACCATGAATTAACTAGGAACTTCAACCCTCGACTAGCTAGAAGAAAATTTCATATATCTCTGGAAGTTAAACAAGAGGGCCCCTAGACTTTGTACAGTTGTGCGGTTTTTCTTTTTAGTTATTAATTCGAGTATTTTCATAATGGTTAGCAGTTAACGTGTAATACTAGAATTAAGAGCTTGTAATTCCTATTTATATCTTGTTTATTTATAATTAATTACGTATAAAATATAAAAATTATTATATTACAATTCATATAATCGCATATACATTTTTGTTTTTATTAAATTTATATGTAAATTTCATTAAAATTTTAAATTATATCATTTTTTATATTATACGTATCATTACGTCATATTTAAAATTGATAAATCTATCAATAAACATCAAGAACTCAACAATTATCTCCATGACTAAACTTGAGTTACAGAGATACCTTCCTAAGTAAGAAATTTGGAAAAGTTAAGGCTGGCATCAATATCATCCTTACTTTTATCCTTGGAAAAAAGGAGGAAAAACTAAACTAAACTCATGGAAAAGGAAAAGGAAAAGAAGAAAGGGAAGTCGTAAAAGCATCACTCAATATGTTGTCTCCATTGATATGGCTGCTTGATGATATATGGAGCACTAAAGTCGCCTAACATAGCCATGATCCCGATCAGTTTATTCTAGCATGTACCAATTAAGGAATCTTGAGAATCATATGACATCCATTTCCAAAATGGTGCAACCAACAAAAGAGACTCTCTTTAATTTTATTACATATAGTCTCTTTCATTCTTAAGGAATCCATTAAACTCTTTAAAAGCAGATCATTATATATTCTCCTTCTTTTACCACTCCTTATTGGAGGTGTAAATCTATTGTCTTTTAATGGAATTTAAAATCCATGAGCTTTCTTTACCTGAAGAGAACAAAGAGAATTTAGCCACCTTTTAATGCTTGGGTTTGTGACTTTATCCAAAATGTACAATACAAAATATTAACAATTGAGCAAAATAAATATCTCATCCTGAAGCTTGCTATTTCTTTCTTTTAGAAATGATAAATATATAAAATTTAATAATTTTAAAATTTAAATTTCCATATTTATATATTTTTATTTTTTTAATAAAAATATATTCATTTCACGGCAGCTGCCGTATACCAAAAGCAGTAAGCACCCTTTCCCATAGGTGCTGGGAGTAAGCACAAGTCAAGAAAAACTCTCTTTAACAATGCAAATTAAAAAAATTGAATGAGAATCCATTCATGTGTATTAGATCATATCATTAGTATTACAGTTATATATGCAAATATATATTTTCCGGGGAGATTAACCATAAATAAACTACTTTACTCTAAATTTTGGATATTTATAAATTAAAAAAAATTCGAATCCTACTTTTTTTGAATTAAATGCTAGTCCATTTTCTTTAATTTTATAGTTTCCCTCCCCTCATCTTTTAAAAATTTATTTATCCGCCTGATTGTTAGTGTTTCTCAAATGTAATCATCCTAGTCTCATTTTTAAAATAAATATGCTGTCTAAATTTGACAAATGGATCAAGCTCAATTGATCTTTAAAATCCTTTGACCAAGACGTCCAATTACTGTTTAAAATTTTGAAATATTAAAAAATATTTTTGTATTAATATTTTATATATTTTAAAATTAAATTTAAATAAAAAATTTTATTCATTAAATAGAAATTCGGGCTGAATTAGGCCAAGCTTCATCTCCGAAGCTCGTCTCTCTCAATCCGAGTGGACTGGAACCCCACTCACAAGATAAAAAAATAGGGCGACACGTAAACAGGTTCAAGGACTCTAATCTATAAACACAGGAATCAAAATTTACTTTGATTGTACGGATGACGTAACGTTTTGAAAAGCAAAATTATTAAGACATGCATTAAAAAAAAAACATATATCCTTTCTCTGCTTTATATATATATATATATATATATATATATATATATATATTGGAAAGCCCACGCAAAAACCCACGGTGGCTTTAAATCGAAGTCACGAGAGGTTCTAAGTGCAGGCATTATTTAGTACAAAAAACATGATTAGAACAAACTCTCTTTTGGACCAACTCCCTTCCTTAGAAATTAAAATATATAGAATTAATTAATTATAAAGTATTTTAAGGCATGCTAGCTACCCTAAAGTTTCGGCTTTTTAAAGATCCAAATCTCTCTTTGCGCTTTTCTTTTTTTTTTTTTTTGTTTCTGTTCTCATTTGCTTAGTAATATAAATACCCGCACAACGTGAAAGGTAAAAGCCCTTTTAGCTTTGTTTCCATTGATTTTAAACATGTAAATAATATGTTAATGTTCCACTAATCTATTTTCTGATTGAAACGGGACCCCCCCCCCCCCCCCCCCCCACGCAGCTGTGAATCCTTTAGTAGTGCCAAGGGCGGCGGGTAATAGGAGCTAAAGGGGCCTTGGCATCCAAAATTTTTAAAAATCCTTTATGTCCTTAATATATGTATATATATTTATATTAAATATATTTAAATTGATTCTTAAATTAAAATTATAAATTTTTAGTGGTTTCATTATTTAATTTATACATTATAATTTAAGAGATATTTAAATCATTTTGATATTTGTTTGTTTATCATACTCAAATATCATTATTTGTAAATTCTTAAAATTAAAAAATTTGTCAAACATTTTAAATCACAATTATATAAATTTAATATAAATTAAATTAAAATTTTAATTTTCTCGATAAGAATCTAAATTTTTGACAAGTATATATATCAAAAAATTTGTTTTTTGGTACAATAGAGACCAAACTAGAAAATTTAAAGAAAAGGAAATTACAAGTTTTAAGAATTTAACTCTAATAATATTCGTTTTAGCTTACTTCAATCTTTCCTCTCCATATATTTTTTCACTTTTGCTTTTACTTTAGATCTATGTCTCATGTTGTCGTAATTTTTTTTTCCAACAAAACAAATTATATTAGAACTACTTCACAAAAGGATAAAAAATATATATTATAACTTTTAATCTCAAATTTTCATCATATATTTAGTTTTCTTATTTTGATAAAATGTTTAATGATTGATTTATTTGTATCTTTTTTTTATTTCAATCTAAATTAACAAAAAATTAAAAAAAGTTTCCATAATTCATTGATAAATTGTATCCTGTTATCATTAAAAATATAATGTTGTCACATTAATATTTTGCTTTATAATTTTATGAACCCATCATATTTTTATTAGCATATTATTCACACTAATGATAGAATATTTCTTTTGAAAATATAAAATAAAGTATATTATATATCATTTGTTAATCCCTCTAAAATTGATTGTCAAAATCCGTCACTGATCATGTTGTTTTTTTATTTCATCCTTTCATCGTGTAGGATTGATCATCTCATTTTCAAAAATACGGAAATGTTGATGTTAGCTAATTATTTATGCTTTTGATAGGATTTGTCGGTTTCATGCTGTCAATGTAGCTCACTTATCCAATCAAACAGTGCAAATTACTATAAAAAAAAAAAAAAAAAAACAACCTCAACCTTTTTCCGCCTCCCAATCCACTTCAAATGCTGAAGGGTTAAGCAATCTTCATTTGTTTATTAATTTTGTAAAGCTCATTTGCATCTGAATTCGTACAATGTTTAGTCATTATATATCTTCTCGATTACTAATAAGAGAGCATAATTCCTTTTTGTTAGTGCATTACAAAAGTGATCCCCAACATAAAAACAATACCGATAAAGATGACTAAATTTGTCGTTAGCTTTACCGTTTATGAAGGACATTTTGTTATTGATAGCTTCCATTTTTCTTTTAATTATTTTGTTTTATTTGATTTGGATAATGGACAATAGTCCAGTACTTGTAACAACTTATCCAAGGTTCAAGCCCACGTCACTCACCTCCAAGCCCCTTAGTCTCCTGCCTTGTACCTGTCATCTTTTGTCAAACTCATTGAAATGACTAGATTTTGCCCAGTGCCCATCCATTATACGAGTGTTCTTGAAAAAAAAAAAAACGTGTTTTATAAAAGGAAAAAGAAAGTTACGTGATTAAAAAACAAAAGTGGATAATGTATTTTTTTTAATTTATTATTGTTAAAATATTTAATTTTTATTAATTTTTTAATTGAATCGACGTCATTTTATTTGAAACATTAAATTCAATCAAGAGCTTTAGTAATTAGCATAAATTATAACACTTACAAAGATGACATGATTTTGTCACTTAATTCATGTAATATTTCAAAAAAGGCTAATGCTATTCGGTATTTGCTAAAAAAAATAAAAAATTTTGTTGAGGATATTTTGGGTAGAGGCAAGTTGGAGGATGAGCTAAAAGGTGATTTAGGAATAATCTGAACCTGCAACAAAGAAATTATGATCAATTGAGACGTTGAAGTTTCATTTTTTGGACATGTTTCGATGCTCAAGTTAGCATTGTGTATTAAGTTAAGGTTAAGGAGAAAGAAGATAAACTATAGAGAGTATTGCGGAAACTTATGGATGAAAAGTTCATAACAGTATACTTGCACCTCATTTTACTTTATATAAAGGATATTAGACAGTGACGTGATATGAGTAGATGACAACTTATGAAAAAGTTCATATAGACTTTGAGGAATATCCATATGAGTTGGAATGAATTGCATTTTAATGATTTCACACAAATTGAACTACCGTGAGACGATTCATTGATGGAATATTAGTGAAGGTGTTAGGCGAGTTATTTTTGTGTAGGTGAGGAGCTCCAGTTTGACAAACAACTCATGGAGGTCAAGCTATATGATGACAAGGAGTTCAATTGTCAATTCTCCTTGATGATGACATGGTGGTCAAGAGTGTGCTAACTTAACGAATACAGAAGTTGAGGCCATTAGACGTAACAATTGCCCTCCAAGCATAAAAGAGAATATAAAGTGATTGCCTTCAAACATTCGCTTAAGTTGACTTTTGTATGAACTATTCTATGGTGAGGCAAGGTATTATGGTGTGCCTTGCTAGTGACGTTTCGATTTTATGAAAGCAGTCCTTTCCAAAACCTTGTTGATGACATGTTTTTGTCGAAATGATGTTGTGTTATTTTTGTCGAGTTGATATTTTATAGTGAGCGTTGTTGATGATGTG